ATTTCGGTGAATATTTTTGTCATTTTTGGTAAAAAGTGATATTTTCGACTTCTTGTTGAAAACCGCAAGTCCAATTGCTTTGATATTACATATATAGGTACTACATGTGGACCTCTCTCAGATTTGTTCATTTTCTAATGATATCTTCTGTTCTTTAATTGCCAGGTGACACTGATGCAAATGTTTATGAAGCTTTTTCTCAATTGAAACCAGGGGAGATGTCAGCAACAGTGGCCAATTCTATGAAATATATGACTAAAAGAGGTCAGAATTGTCATCAAATTCTCATCCTTATTATTAATTTAGTAAATAATTAATTTTCATGTGAAGTATTAATGAGGTAATTTTAACTACATGTATATAAAGCCCACTCCTGGCTTGAAATTATGAACACTTTTGAAATTTTGTAAATTGTATGACTCTATATAGTATCATAAGTATGTACATTGAGAAAGCCATGTTATGATTCCCATTTCTGCATGTTTGTCCAATCATTCATTCAGATGATTACAGTGTAAGACCAGTGACTAACTGGATAGTGTGTGATTTGGAGACTGAACAAGGCAGACTTCTATTACGTGATGGTATTAAACAAATGGTGAGCGAATTTTAATCTGGGGATTTGGGTTCTTCACAAAATAAATTACTACATTTGTGGTAATTAAAGGATACAAGTGTTGTCATATAAAAATGTGATGAGATATAAAAAATAGATGAGATGATTACAACCATGTAATTGTATATCAGTTACTGTCAAATACTTTATTGTCAGCTTGAATTAATTTTCACTTTTTGTAGCTCATTGCTACAAAGTAAACTTAATTACGTAAAAATTCACGTATCAGAATAAAGAGGGAGACACACACACAAGTTAACGGGTTGTAGGTTAGCGCCACTTTTTATTGCATAACACGTGATCAGCTCATGACAACATACATGGTGTAATGTGATTAGCTAATAAGGTCATGGTCATGACACTTGATTACCCTAACTCAATGAATAAAAGTACAAGAAACCGCATAGCAAAGATACAACATCACTGAAAAGACATTTTGGTGAAAATAAATTCCAAGGGAAAAATATTGTGATTTTACAGTGTACATCATCTACATGTGTTGAATTATAGCAATGTGCACTATCCTCTAACTAGGTCAGACTTTGCTAGCTGGTGTTGATCCACAATATGTGTAACTGTTTGTTGCAGGTACTATTGTATCAAACTTAACTCTAAAATTACATGCATGTTGTATTTATCAAGTTTTATTGTCATCAAAATTGTGTTTAAAACCTTTGGCACATCAAGTAATATGTGTATATAATAAATGTAACAGTCATAATATATGCAAGATATTTGTTAAAGAATTGTGTTGCCAACCGACGAGCATCACCAAGGTTATTCATAGATTTGATTGTAAATAAGTTTTCAGTATCAGGATGTCATCAAGGTACCAAATTACATGTAGGAATCTTGCTTGATGATAAAAGATGAACTACCGGGTAGTATCACAAAATAAATATTTGATGTGAAGCATTTTGCATTAGAATTAGTCAAGATGTGCACCAGACTCTTGCGTTGGTTTCCTTTTATAGCCATTATGTCCTTCTTTTCTGAATTTATAAGACAACTACTTTAGAATACTTTATTTTCGCTTGGAATTAATTTTCATTATTTTCACTGAAGGAATGATTCAGTGTAAATACAATCCAGCGAGTATACCTTTTTCCCTTTATTTAACATTAAACTTGTCTGAAATCAGTGAAAATTTATTCCATACAAAACATCCAAAAATTTTTTTCAGCAAAAATTAATTCCAGCTAAAATACATGTATATAGTATGTTACAGTATTTTACACAGGCTGCTAACTTTCAGTTTTGAATTTAAGCCAAGTTTAATACTCACGATTCAAATAGCATTCAACTAAATTTTAAACGTAATGCCTTTGTAGTTACCAATAGGTCATATTAATGACTAGTTTTTAATTGCATTTTCTACTTCTTTAGAAAAATTCCAACAAAGTACGGGTTGGCATCTTGAACAATCCATTTCGTGAACCCTCAGATGGGAGTCATTGGCTGGCACGTGCTGTCAACGCTGCTCTGCAATCACAGACGAAGAATAACGCCAAAAACTTCATTGTGAAGTTATTAAAGGAAGAGAACATAGTTGAAATCAATGATGGAAAAAAGACAGTTCAAGATTTGGCTGTTAGTGTAAGTACATGAGTATACTTAAACTTAGATCCTTTTATCTCATCCAAGATTTTAGAAGATAATATTGGTACCTTTGACAGCCATGGAAACTAAATGGAATGATAATTTGTACAAACCTTATTACTAAACATCTTATCTGTGCTTGTAGTAATATTTTATTGAGAGGTAATAGAATGTTTGTGTTCAGTGGCGGGGTTGTATTTCAACATGAAGTTTGTATATTCTGTGTACATACATGTATAGTACACACATAAAAATATAATGTTTACCTACACTTTGATGAATCTTATATGTTGCAGGGAATGGATTTAGCTGCATTTAATCAACTATTTGATAACAAATCTACTGGTTTTGTCAAATCACATCAACGTTTCTGTCAATATATCTTGGGTGTAGTGCCAGGTGGTAGAGCTATAGTGTCGAATGGAAAAGTAAGTAGTAGTCTATATACATGTGTGTATGTACAATTTTTTGTTTGTCAGTGTTGCAAATATACCATTACCGTTAAAGATTGGCGTAACAGTCATTGAATTGATGAAGAAAACACTGAATCTGGTTGTAAATATCAGTAACTAATTAAGCATACAATGCTCAGTGTTAATGCCTCTACTATGAATCACACCTCCCTTCATAACGTGATCCAATTACAAATCTAATTGATACCAATTTCTGCAGTTATCATTCAAATGAAATGTCATTTCCTTCTCCCTAGTTATTTGGACCATTGAAGCAGGATGAAGAATTTGGTCTGGAAGACTTTAACTTATTAGAGAAATATGTGAGCGGAGTAGCCGCTGAAAACATACAATATAAGGTGAGAATGCAATGATTAATTCACCTGTCTGAGCCACAGTGAATAAGCTTATTGACCTGTCTGAGCTGCAGTAACAGTGAATGAAACACAATTTTATTGACCTGTCTGAGCTGCAGTAACAGTGAATAAAACACAAGCTTATTGACCTGTATGAGTCACACTAACAGTGAATAAAACACAAGCTTATTGACATGTCTGAGCTGCAGTAACAGTGAATAAAACATAAGCTTTAATTGACATGTCTGAGCTGCAGTAACAGTGAATAAAACACGAGCTTATTGACCTGTCTGAGTCACACTAACAGTGAATAAAACATAAGCTTTAATTGACATGTCTGAGCTGCAGTAACAGTGAATAAAACACGAGCTTATTGACCTGTCTGAGCTGCAGTAACAGTGAATAAAATACAAGCTTATTGATCTGTCTGAGCCACAGTAACAGTGAATAAAACACAAGCTTACTGACCTGTCAAAGTCACAGTAACAGTGAATAAAACACGAGCTTATTGACCTGTCTGAGTCACAGTAACAGTGAATAAAACACAAGCTTATTGACCTGTCTGAGCCGCATTGAATAAGCTTATTGACCTGTCTGAGCTGCAGTAACAGTGAATGAAACACAATTTTATTGACCTGTCTGAGCTGCAGTAACAGTGAATAAAACACAAGCTTATTGACCTTTCTGAGCCGCAGTAACAGTGAATAAAACAAGCTTATTGACCTGTCTGAGCTGCAGTAACAGTGAATAAAACAAGCTTATTGACCTGTCTGAGCCGCAGTAACAGTGAATAAAACAAGCTTATTGACCTGTCTGAGCCGCAGTAACAGTGAATAAAACACAAGCTTATTGACCTGTCTGAGCTTCAGTAACAGTGAATAAAATACAAGCTTATTGACCTGTCTGAGCTGCAGTAACAGTGAATTAAACGCAAGCTTATTGACCTGCCTTGTATATGTCACATGGGACCCACTACGTGTAATATGAAACTATTATAACTGAATTCAAGGCTGTTTTTTTTTTTTTTTGAAAAATCTTTACAGTATTATTCATGAATTTAAAATGCTGTTACTGATTGAGAATTCACAGATAATTGTAAACACTATGATATACACCATGTTATACTTATCCCATTTTTTAGATGAGAAGTTTGAATATATCGAGAGATGAGATAGATGGGCTGAGTGACTTAGTGATGAAAGTGGATGCTTTATTAACAGCAAATCCACAAACTGAGGAACGTAAAGCATATGACTTTAAAGCATCAGAACACAGGTCAGTTTCTGTTATTATATTATGCTGTTGTATTGTATTGAGAATATTTTAATTATTGAATTTATAATTTAAAAGTCAACTTATCTTTCACAAATTTGTTCTTGTAAAAAAATACATCAAAGTGTTTCACCAAAATTTGGTGAGAAAATGATAGCATTCAAAGAATTTAAAATAGGAGTGTCACTACAGGAAGAGTGTTTAATGCTACACAAAGCAATACAATGTTGCT